CAGAACCAGGCTCAGTGTGAGCGGCCATCTGCTGAGGCCCACTGGGGTTCAAGGAGACAGAAGCAGACATAGAAAAAGAAGCAAATTTAGTTTTAACTGCTTTTTGATTTTCAAGTCCCTTTATTATGATATATATGAGTGTTTCAGTTATTTTCCCTCTGAATTAATCCGAGTCTGTAATTTAAAGTAACAGCTGATTGGCTGCTGGGTGGAACGTTTTTTTTTTTTAAGGTTCAGATCCATCCTGAAAGCTAGCCCGACCCAGAGCAGGTCAGTTGTTCTCAACACGTTACCATGGCGACCAGCCTTGCTAAGAATGTATCCAGCTCCGTGGTACCGGAAAGAACCCAAAGTTATCCAATAATCCTGCTTTGTGGTACAGGCCTCTACTGTGATTGGTCCATCAACAAATTTACCCGAACTTAAAACCAACAGGGAAACATGCAGGTCATATTCTACAGGTTGGAATAGTCTTGGGCCACAAGATTATCAAAAAATCCAAAATTGATACATTTTGTTAAACTGTATCAGATCTGAATGAACTCCTGGTTCTGGTGTGTCAGATGTATAACCCTCACAAAAACATCTGGACGGCCACGAAGTGCGCGCCTCAGACACACCCTGATTAATATGGAGTATTGCATAGAGAAGCTTTATAATGATGATAACATGAAGGCTGCTAAAAATGTCATCTGGGCTTCCTTATTAAACCAGAATCACAATCAGCTCTATGTGACGAAGCATTAATGTCTGCAAAAGGAACACACTCACTGAAGTTTGAGTCAATATCCTATTCAGTACTTGGACTAGACCTCTCAGTAGGAAAAAAAAAAAAAATTATTGGTCTTATTTAATATTCTAAATTTCAGATTAAGTTCATTTTGGGTTCTCATTTGCAGTACACCATGTTCCACCATAACTAACAGAAATAAACGCTTAAAATATATAATTGCTTCTAATTATATTTGAATTTTGAATTGAGTAACTTAAAGTATTTATTAAGATGTGCCTGTAAAACAATGGTGCCTTCATACCAAGTAAGGCAGAAAGAAAGTAAGAAATTGACACCTTATTAAACAAGTGTAGCATAATTCCACTTTTCTATCCCAAATGGGCACCTCTTGTCCCACTCTTGTACTTTTAATCACATTTATTCCCCTATGTTATTGTTGTTACACATCGGTGAGATCAGCATTTAACTTTTAGCACAAAGCAAAAATGACAAGCTGAAAAAAATAGAGAAAATTATTTAATACACCTAATATCTTGTATATTAAAGCACAAAAAATGAAAGGGGACCAAGCAAACTCTAAAGAGCCAAACTTTCTCCAGCTATGATCAGAGATCCTGCAGTGTGTTTGTCTATTGATTGAAATCATCAATACTCCTTGTTTTATTGAAACTCTCCCAACATTTATGCACAAGTCTTTTCAGGGCACTTTATCAAATTCTTTGTAGACCAATCTGTAATGTTTATTTCTGTAAGAAGAAAAAAGATATGGTAATCGGAAGAAGTCGTCCGACTTTTGTTTTAATTCTGAACTGAGCGGTGTTTCACATTCCAACTTATGTCTCTCTTGTGGTAATTGATGAATGTTTAATGCTTAAAAAAATAAAAATATTTGTGTAGATTTGATGTGAAAAGATGCAGGTGAATTTTATGGTCATGCAATTCAAATGTAGTGGAGGGGGGGGGTCATATGATGTGGGTCTACTTGGGGAAAGGTAAATGCATGTATTTTACATTTATGCAACAGAAAAGCATTCAAATAAAATATGTAAATACAAGTCCTTGCATGAAATAAATTTTATACACAACGAGCATTAAGACTTTGTTTTTTATTCAGCAGCACACACATACATACATGGATACACGCATACATGGATACATGCATACATGGATACATGCATATATACATGCATACATACAATCATGCATTCATGCATACATACATACATATGTACGTCTCTCCTTTTCAAATGACTTAACTGACCTGGTTGTTCAACCTAAATATGACGATCTGACGCCATGTCTACATTCAGCTTAGACTGAATGACTAAGGAGGAGAAAAATGGGGTGACTGTGAGATGAGCATGATGGAAAGTCCAGAAAAGCATGACAATGAAAAACCGAACTTCTCCTCATCGAGCTGTAAAACGTGGCATGATCGGGCATGTTCATTATTAACCGACTACAGAGTCCGACCTCTGCACTCAGGCGCTCCTCTGACGCCTTGTGCCGAAGCATGGCAACGCATGGTAAAACCCATCGTTTACCATGGGGAACTAACGGAGCACATTTTCTTTACCCTCCATCATCGCCATCATTTCCACCATTTCTACATAAATGTGTGTAATAATTTATTTTTATTATTGTTTTTTTTTTATATGTTTATAGAAAACCAACGACAGCACCGGAGCAGACAACCAACAGAGTCAGTTTGTGTTATGAACCATGGTGTACCAACCACTATGTGTATGACCCATAATGACCCATCACCCACTTGATAGTGCTGTAGCATTTTTATATGTGTGTGTATAACTTAGCATTTTTAAATGGATGTGACAGTGACAACCTGTGCATCACAAACTCAGCATAGATGTAGCACCGAGGAAGTTTTGTTGTCAAGCCTTATGTAGCTCACTATCTGTGACTGGTTACTGTGTTGTAATTTGTCTGCCTATTTTTCGCTGTGTGCCAGTGCTGTAAATACGCTTTCTATGTGTCTGCTCAATTTGTGTGTTCCAATGTTTTTTGAGTGACCATCAAATATTTGTGTGCTGCTTCTGTTAAAAAAAAAAAAGTTGCTCTGAATTTAAGTCACACCTACATCAGAGAAAAACAAAATAGTGAACTTTGCACTGTCGCGGTTGCATCTTTTTAGGGTGTTGCACCAGTGAACTTTTAACATTCCTTTGATATGTTTTCAGGCATCGGTGAGATAAAATTCACATGAAAACAATGTTTGTGTGAAGAAGCACCAATCTAACCTTGATATAATGAGGCATTATGAATGCAAGCTTTGTTGTAAAGAATCAAAAATCCTTCAGACTGTAGCTGTATGCTGGGGAAGATTCTAGGTCATCCAGTTCAGAGTCATTCCAAAAGAGTTAAAATCAATCCTCTGGACTTTGTTTCCGAGACGTTTCTCTTCCATCCAGGAAGATTTTTCAATCCAAAATGTCAGAAATAGCGTTTAGTTCCAGGTTTTATCCAGCAGCCCAACAAAGCCTCGTTTTNCTTAACTGACCTGGTTGTTCAACCTAAATATGACGATCTGACGCCATGTCTACATTCAGCTTAGACTGAATGACTAAGGAGGAGAAAAATGGGGTGACTGTGAGATGAGCATGATGGAAAGTCCAGAAAAGCATGACAATGAAAAACCGAACTTCTCCTCATCGAGCTGTAAAACGTGGCATGATCGGGCATGTTCATTATTAACCGACTACAGAGTCCGACCTCTGCACTCAGGCGCTCCTCTGACGCCTTGTGCCGAAGCATGGCAACGCATGGTAAAACCCATCGTTTACCATGGGGAACTAACGGAGCACATTTTCTTTACCCTCCATCATCGCCATCATTTCCACCATTTCTACATAAATGTGTGTAATAATTTATTTTTATTATTGTTTTTTTTTTATATGTTTATAGAAAACCAACGACAGCACCGGAGCAGACAACCAACAGAGTCAGTTTGTGTTATGAACCATGGTGTACCAACCACTATGTGTATGACCCATAATGACCCATCACCCACTTGATAGTGCTGTAGCATTTTTATATGTGTGTGTATAACTTAGCATTTTTAAATGGATGTGACAGTGACAACCTGTGCATCACAAACTCAGCATAGATGTAGCACCGAGGAAGTTTTGTTGTCAAGCCTTATGTAGCTCACTATCTGTGACTGGTTACTGTGTTGTAATTTGTCTGCCTATTTTTCGCTG